CTATAAAGCAGGCAGCAATTTAAACTCTACAACATACAGCAATAACAAAAATTGGCTGACCACTGTCGAAGCAATTTGGCCAGTGGCTTTTGTTTCAACTATTAAGACTGTGCATTGCACCTCTGGCATCTTATAGCAACATGCTAAAGCGAATTGCAGAACTAAAGGGTGTCCATAAGGGTATTATGAATGATTAAATATATACAATTAAACAGCAGCTTGAGCTAGGTCTATGAAATACACACTGGTAGTATTAAGATTTTATTTAATCCTTCTAAACCACACATCCACCATGGTATTGTGACAGCAGTGTCAAGAAACGAGATATTCACGAACATCTCCGGGTTTGATGGTTTTGAATGCTTCTATTTCATGTTGTTCAAGATTACTCAAGCGTTTAGAATAAAATACAAAACTTGGGTAGACTCATAAGTTAAACATTTCAAGCACACAGTTCAAACTGTCTAATCATACGTCTTTATTAATGGTACCTTTTATGGACACCCTGAATATTTAATGAAATATTTCACTTTAAGAGAATTTCCACCAACATTTTAACAGCCATTATAAATTACCTCTATAAAACACAATTTAAACCCTCCCAAAGCAGAGGAAGAGTATTTATTTACAAGTCTGAAAGCGCAAGCAGCTCCCCTCATGTGTGTGTTAATGGCTCCCCTGTCGCATTTACCCCGTGCACGTCGTGATTTCTGGTCCTTCGAAGGAAAAGGATCGTCCAAATCGGCCTCCGCTTTCATTTTGTACAACTTGGTCAGAACTGTATTGGTGAAGTACTCATTCTCCTCAAAATGAAACTCCAACAAGAAGCTCTGAACATGCGGAAGAATAAAACAACATCAACACAAGTTAGTTGTCAAGACATTGCAGATGCACATGCGGTTTTGAGACAGCCTTGTCAAATTATGCAGTCTTTCTGTTTAGACACAGCTTTGATGCGGGCCTCCATACACCGCGCAGGTCATGGGGTATCTGACGACAATTCATACACACTAGTCAGCATGGGTTGAAGGCAGAGAAGATGCAGGAGCATACAAATAAAGCAATGATTTTGCTTCACTGCTCTTTACTACCAGCCTCACAGCCCTATGACAACCTTGATTATGCACGAGTCACCCACTCAAGCACTATCCAGAATAAGGGGCATTCTGGCGATTTGGTCAGGTGCCTCTTGACCATCACCCAGTGGAAAAAAAATCAGATCACTTGAGGCTAGTCATAGCCGTGGCTACCATTGCAAGCATACATCGTCGGGTGCTCCGTAACCCTAACGCTGGGCCCCCTATGCAGCGGAAGTTCAACTGGACTGAGTCATGCAAGTTTGTATATTTATTTTAACATTTCCTTTAAGCGTATCATTTTTATGAACAGCACAGCTTAGGAAAATGCTTGCCTCTACATTTTATTCGTATAGTTGATGTCTACCGATGGGAGAGGGTCGAAAACGGATAACATTTGCAATGAATCACTTGTGACAAGTATTTACGCACGAGTTTTTTTTCAGAGGAATGCAATAACATTTCTGAAGACCTTACGAGTTTCAACAATTACCACCACGTGTTGCATGAAGACATCTGAGTCATGGACGTAAACTGCCATTTACGACACATTTACTTCAGAAAAAGGCTTTTCGACTTGAGGGATCACTCAATACATTTATGTAGCTTGACATTAAACAGGGACATAAGGAGTTGACTCAGAAGGGGTTGATACAACTTATTTTAAATAGTAACCTATTTGTAATGGCTCTAAAATAATACTATCTGGATTTGGAAGAGGAAAGGGCAAAGGATAAGTGGTGACCAAGGTTGGCAATTTGTCATAAATGCTTTATAAATAAGCACTACCTGAGCAAATGACGTTTAACTATGTTATGGGATGAGTAGAAATAAATTGTAAAAATTTTGATAATTTGGCATTTTTACTGTTGAAAACTTGTCTTAAAAATGGGCATGTGTCAAACCAGTGCACAAAACTTGTCAACAGGTATTCATTCAAATGAACACAGGATTGACTAATATTATCCAGTGGTTTTATTGGGTTCGACTGCAAAAGTAGACATAAAACTTTCGTGACTGCAGGAATTCACACTCCTGGCTCTTTCGGTAAAGTCACGTAAATAGAAAACAAAAATATCTAAAATAAAAGCAAAAAACCCACTACGTTTCGATCGCAACACAAGCGTCATCATCAGGTGGAGAGAAGACCGCTTGTGTTGCGATCGAAACGTCGTGGGTTTTTTGCTTTTATTTAGATTTTTTGTTTTCTATTTGCGTGACTTCACTGAAAGAACCAAGAATATAAATGCGTCGTTAAACCTGCCACCCCCGTTACAACCAATTAGTAATGTTTGTCATGTAAACAAAAAATGACAATTAGTTACTACTTCAGCACACCGGTGTATGGAGAATAACCACATTTTTTTTACAATAGAGTACTAGATACAATTTGAGTAGGCGGTTTTAGAGATTGCACAAGGTAAGAAAAAAATGACCAACACTACTTTTAATAACTGCATATGTTCCGCCAGGCAAATTACTTGACTCGGTGCAAGTTACCAGAATCATAAAGGACAATCAGTAAATGTGGTGCCCATTTAAACATGTCAATGTCAGCCATTTGTTTTTTTTTACATTTTGTCAAGAGCCCCTTAAAATAGCTTTAAAAATCAAGACTGGTTAGGAAAAAAAACTTTACATTGGTTGGAATGTCATGATTCAGCCCTTCCATACACTATGCCTACAATTTAAGGAATTGCCAAGATTAAATTCAAGAACTGACGTTAATCTAACCCAAAGTATAGGGATTGTACTTACAAAAATGTGTAACATGTGCACGCGCTCTTTTTCAAAAAGTCCACTCATTTGATAAACTTAACTGGTGAGCAGCTTAAAACGGCAAAATGTAGTAGACGCATGCTGGGAAAAAGGTTGCCAATTTATGCGAGGCAAAACATTCAACTAAGAAAGTAAAATACGAGTTTGACACCAGACACGTGGCATTCAACGACTAAGACTTATCATCCCCAAAGTATAGCAGCATCTATCAAGGGTCCAGCAACCACAACATGTTGACCATGCATCACAAAAACACACCTCTTACTTGCACAGCAACATCAAGCAGGCAAACAGGCCGATAGTTAGGGGCAAAGACTCATATTTATATAAAAGATAAGCAAAGCATGGTCTTTAGTTAGTGATATCCTTGGTGCAGATCTTTCATGAGATTTTTCAAATCTGGAATTGGAACAACCAAGCCCATGAGCAGGCAAAGAATAACAAAAAAAACTTTCCATACAGCTCGGTAAAGCTTTCTTACCATTGGCTGTCCTGCTTCGGAAAACTGCACACGTACATCCTTTAAATGCCTAAGAATCGGCTCATCATATTCCTGCAAAACACAAGCACCTCATTAGGCTATAAGAACAATCAGTAATGATCAATGACCCACCCAAAAATGTATGAATATTGTAAAGACAGAAATAATGGTGTATTTTATGGTGGTGAAGTCAAGGGCATTTCCATTGCCTGCTGCAGTTGTGGTAATATAAAAATTAGTTGCCATGAAAAAGTGCTTAACATACAAAACCGTCTCAGGCTTCCGCAACATCTGCTGACTTGACAATAAGTGGTCCAAATTATTCTCCAAGTCGGTGTTTAAGGTCAGAAATTTGTCCAAAATAAAAATGAAGCAGTTTTTACAGGAGGGGAGAAAAAAACATGTGCCACACAGCTCTCTGTAGATTACCTGCACAAGGTCACCGAGCATGTCCACATTTTTAAACACAGTCAGCCAGAATTCTGGAATGCCCTTGGGATCTTCCTCTTTTTCCTTTTTCTCTTCCTCAAGCTTCGCTTTCTCCTTCACTTCATCCTATGGAAAATAAACATGGTCCAAGCAAAGATAAGCTCAATAGCCTTTGTATGAATGTTTTTGCTGCGAGGACAAGTTAACATTCTTAACACAGCAACTCAATGAGGACTTTAACACTTTAAAGGCCATCATTGAAAAAGGCACTAAAATGTGCAATGTTTAACCTTTGTGGATGCACCACGCGCACCAGGAATGAAACCTTTCAAAATGTCATTTGTATATTGCAATAACTGCAGCTCGCTCATGTTACAAATAAGAATTAAACCTTGTAAATCAATTTAAACCCACGTATAAAATTAAATTACGTTAATGCAATTGGTCAAATTTCATCACCAAATTTACTTTTTCAATAGCAGGTGATGGTTTTACCGTTATAATTCAACATCCTATTCGCAAATGTATGCAAAGCTCACTGAAATGTTAATTAAAATTTACAATTAGACAATTATTCAAAGCAGATTAATGCACTTTGTTCACAAAAACATTTATGGGAGAGAACATCAAGGTGCAACGCCACCTTGTGGAACATTTCAGCATTCACTGGATGAAAATCATCCACATCTAAAATTCAATTACTTATGTGAGGTTTAAATTTTCATACACATGCACTTAGATTATACCACTTTGTCTGGCCTTAGAGGCATATTGATTTGTGGTGTGTTTTCATGGTCACTGAAATAATTGCTATGGAAACATTTAAAACACCATGTGAATAAAACCAGGTTATCACACCACCGCAACGGGAATTTTAGTCGGTTGAAAAATAAGATTGGAATCGTTCACCTCCGTGGAATACAAAACAAGCTGTATGTAGAATCTACAGCAACATGGAAGATTAAGTGCTTTTAAAGGAAGCATTAAAGGTCCTGCCATTATTTTTCCCAAGTAGCAGACACATATTGGAACAGCTATGAAACAAGCTCTCATTTAACTTTTTCAATCTTACCACACCATGGTATAGTTTAAAAACGTGCAGGATTAGTCACAAGTGCAAGAATAGCAACCACTGCTGAAAAACAAGTTCAGTTTATTCAATGACGATCCTTACCACAAGGTCTTCTTCCTTGTCATTCGGCCACTCACATTCCGCATCATCGGGTTCCACCAAGGCAGCTACAATGTCTCTCCTCTGCGACAGCAGCAGCCAAACAGAATTAAAGTGAGAAAAACAAGTGCAGCAATGTACATTACATCGAATATAACAAAGGCCATTCTAGAACCAAATATAAGGACCCAGACAGATGATATATCGTATGCAGCTACACAACTAGAAAGGGTCTTAATTTTGGAGCTTTCGTGACTGCAGGAATTATTCTTTGTTTTTTTCGGTAAAGTCACGTATAAAATAAAATAATAAATTAAATAATAGCATACGACGTTTCGATTGCAACACAAGCAATCATCATCAGGTATAATGAAATAGCGACATAGAATATAACCAGAAAACTATAGACAGACATATAAGCAGACAGATATCACCAAGATACATAGAGAGAGCAACCCAGGTACAGAGAGAGGTGATCGTCTCTGTCTATTTAAGGCCACCCCACAGAGACGATCACCTCTCTCTGTACCTGGGTTGCTCTCTCTATGTATCTTGGTGATATCTGTCTGCTTATATGTCTGTCTATAGTTTTCTGGTTATATTCTATGTCGCTATTTCATTATACCTGATGATGATTGCTTGTGTTGCAATCGAAACGTCGTATGCTATTATTTAATTTATTATTTTATTTTTATACGTGACTTTACCGAAAAAAACCAAAGAATAACTAGAAAGGGGTCACAATACATCAGCACAGGTTTAAACTTCGGTAGTGAGAATGTAAATATTTACACTGCAACGTCAATCGCTTCCATTTAAAAAAATACACAGCGATTTCACTCATGCTTTACAGCGTGGGAAACCAACGTCATCTCTCATTAATGAAGCGTCACTCGTGTAAGATAGCCTGGAACACAGCACTTTGGTAGGCAGCTACATTGTCTAAAGGTTCAGCATGTCATGGGCACCACCACGTAATACACAAGCCATTTCATCAGCAGATTTGGCAGCACTCACCCTGTCAAAGAGCGGCTGGTACAGGGCTGCGTACTTCCTCTCAAGATCATGGACCTCCTCGTAAAACTTTGCCTCGATGAGTGCACACTTCACCTGCAAGTTCTTCAGGGCTGTCACTCTCCTCTTCACAACCTTTGGTAAACTGCATAAATGCATTCATTTACAATAATCACAATCGTTTACATCAGTCACCATCAAGTCACGTTACAACTTATGTTACACTGCAGTGCTTGTTTTAACCAATACTCAATATAAACGCAGTTTCAATGTGTGCATTTTATTTTGGTACACCATGCTTCATACTAAATAAATGCAAGTCAATGTGAATTCAAATAAAATGTACTATTACCAACAGGTATAAAAAATGCTTTTATTTTTCCATATAAACCAAACATTGCAAACTTTTCAAGACAATATTTTTGAAAAATTAAACCTGCAAAAAAACGAGGACCATTACACATCATAAAGTATGACCTCTCGATGTAGCCAGATGGAGTGCCTGACAGCCCATCCAGTCTCTCTTGCAGTGCAGCCAAAACCTGCGGATTCTTCATCATCTGAACTGTCAGTTGTTTCACTGAAAATTAAAAACGTGTTTTCAAATATAATTAACACATTCTAGGTCCAGTTTCAGCAACAATATCACAGCAAGCAACTCTTCGACCAGATGTAGCAATGTCCATGAGGTTGTCATTAACCATCGATTCCAGAATACAAAAATAAATGAAAACTCGACCGTTTGTTGTTATACCACATGCAATGTGATTAACTGCATTTCTTAATCGTTTAATATATCAAACATACCATGTGTTATGATCATTAAATGCCTCTTCATGTAGTAAATGTTTGTGATGTTTAGCTTTTACACGCATTGGTAACACGAGTAGCGCAGACACAGCAGAACAAGCTTAACACAGAAGTGCAAAGTCAATGCAAAAAAAAAAGCTTGCACCCACGAAGCCATACAATTGAAAGCTCCTGGATTTAAGCTTGCATATTACCAGACATTAACTTATTAAGATAACACAATGGGCTGCCTTCTGAAAATAACTGCATAATACTATCCATTTATCGTAACCCATGAGTGGACCAGGCATCAACATAGCTTGCAGACTTTCCATCAGCAGATCTGTGCTTTTAAAGATTAACTTAGAGGTTAATTTCCAGTACTGATACATCCTGCACATACGAGTTAGAATAAAAGCGTTGGTTGCCATGTGATGAATCTGCACTCTTGACATCCTCACAGTGATGCCGGGTGGTGAAGTGCCACTGAATATTACTCAGGGCCGTCGTATAATGAAAATGTATATTTAAATATATTAGCAAAGCATTTACAAGCGCACCTTTCTTGTCTTGATCTCCTGCACACGCCTCTGTTTCTGTTTCTTCATCATCCACTTCTTCCATCTCATCCTCTGCTACTGCTACAACTTTGCTGTCGATTGTAAACAAGACACAGAATGCGATTCAGCACAATTGCTGGCAATAAAATGTATTTTTATAATTAAACCATTTCTGGTGGTATAAAAATTTTGAAGGATAGGCTTTATTTACCCTTTCCGGCAACCACACATTAAAGATTAGAAGTTCAACCAGGAGCTATTAATGTATATACGGCTTGAGAATAGGTTTTCCCCTTTTTTCTGGTAACAAATCAGGTGTTAAGATGTTAAAACACCAAACTGAAACCTTTTACAAGGAATAATGTCTGCATTAACCACAATAATTGTGGTCAGAAACTGATTGGTCCACACCAGACAGCTTTCTTAGGAGACTAGGCTCCAAAAGGTGCTAGACCTTTTTGAGACTAGGCTCCAAAAGGTGTTAGACCTTTTTGAGACTAGGCTCCAAAAGGTGTTAGACCTTTTTGAGACTAGGCTCCAAAAGGTGTTAGACCTTTTTGAGACTAGGCTCCAAAAGGTGTTAGACCTTTTTGAGACTAGGCTCCAAAAGGTGTTAGACCTTTTTGAGACTAGGCTCCAAAAGGTGTTAGACCTTTTTGAGACTAGGCTCCAAAAGGTGTTAGACCTTTTTGAGACTAGGCTCCAAAAGGTGTTAGACCTTTTTGAGACTAGGCTCCAAAAGGTGTTAGACCTTTTTGAGACTAGGCGCCAAAGAAAGCTGTCCTCTGGTGTGGACAAATCAGTTTCAAAGACAAAGCATATATTAACAGAGTGTTTTTTGTTTGCATTCTGACCACAAGTATGGGCTAACACTGAAGGCAAAAAGGCGGCGGTGGACAGTGGTGTAGGCTAATCAATTTCAAAGACAACGCAAGCATTAGACTGCGTAACAAAAAAATGTCCTTGGGTAAGTGTTATTTCCTAGTTGCTTATGCCTCAAAAGTACAGAAAATGGCTATTCCCCACAAACTTTGCTTTTGTGACAAGGACAGTGATATTTTGAAATGTACCTATTTTCAATGAGATAACGTGTGCATTTGTCTTTTGTCCACAAAGTCCTGGTCACAAAAGCAAAGTTTGGGGGAATAGACATTTTTTTATACTTTTTCAGCATAAGCAATAAAAAATACCACTTAGTACCCAGGAACAAAAAATGTTACATAGTGAATTATCAAAGAACGTCTGCTTGCATGTTTTACGAATGTTTAACTTCTTTCACCCCATACATAACAAACCATAGACTTGGTGCCTTGAAACAGGTGTCTATTTGGCGTTTACACATACCAACACCTGTATTTTTGCTGGAAAGGGCAAACCCAAAGTTAAAATGCATTATCTCGTGGGTTGAACTTGTCAAAAAAGTACCTGTCTTGTTCAGCCATTTGAGATGCTGCACCTGAATAAACAAATACAAAGAGTTAAAACTCAATATACATTACAGGGCATCACTTGTACTGAGATTAATGCAAATACCGTACAGATATCTCAATTGTAGTTCCCTTAAACACTTACATCTACTGTTGAAAGAGAGTGTTTGCATGTTGTGTGATCCTTAACGGTTAATCTATCTATAGAAAAGTAAAAAATTATGTTTGTGGGTTTGAGTGGCTTTGTGTGTTCGCGCGCTTGCAAAGGATTTGGCTCTCCAACGGTGTGGTCGAGGTTAAATAAAAATAACCAGGTACCACGCCGTAAGCAAGCGCTATTCCTTTTTCACATCCGTCAACTTTAAATTAGTTTAATTAGCGATTTAGTGCGATTTTAGCGTGCTATATATTTATTTATGACGCGTACACGACCATACCAACTCACGCACCTTTGGTGGGGGGGACGACCCATGCCAAGTCGGTGGGAGTGAGCGGGACATTTTCTTTCGCGTTAGAAATGCTATAAAATACACTAAACGCCGAGCTTTAATCATCACTGTGTGATGTCCCCCCAACCCCAATGCGTGCGCAGTTACTACCATATACAGTCGCTATATGCTACTACTATAGGCCGTAGATATTACTGCAGAGCGGCCAGGGAGATTGTGGCGGGGGGGGGGGTAGCAGCCCTGCCTGCCAAGGTGCCAGCTCGGCCGGCTGGACAATCTAGGCAAAGCCGGAGGCTCTGCACGGGACTAGGCCTCACCACGCCACTGTCAGGTGAGTACCTTGTGCTATAGAGTCGATAAATACTGCTATAGTCAGCATGTACAGTACTACTGTAGTGATAGCAAGTACCACCACAATCGGTATGCACAGCTGTAATCATAGCAGGTACCACAGTCAGTATGCACTGCTGTTAAGATTTTTAAGAGTAGCTTTCAAATATTTTTAAGACCTGCTATAATTCACCACACTGGTCAATGTGCGTTTGAGAAGGGTCTATTTTAGAATTGACTTGTCCCTGCTGAGGCCTGGAATCACACTTGGGTTAGAGTTTACCGTACAGTGTTAATGCTAAAGGCCCAAATATTAAAGGTAAATGACAATAGAAGTGTTAAATGAACTTGTGACAGTGTCATCCGAGCTATATCATACAGTATTGCAGCATGCTTTCAGACCACTACAGTTCAACCGTAGTCACAAAAGTCAAGGTTTTGCAATTGATTTTCCACCGCCTAAGATATTGCCTGCGAAATCTTCTCAGTAACCAAATACAACTGACCACCCGCACACGCTCTCCGACTGCTGTATAACCTCAACTTTATCCCACACTGTTTGGGGCGTAAACGTGTACGCAGTTGTCTTGTATGGCCAAAAGGCACAGCTTTTGGCAGTTGTCCTTGTAAACAGGGGGGTTTAATGGTATGGCATTGCAGCAAAAAAATACAAAATTATCAGTTGGCGCATTTAAACGGGATGTATACGGCTGCATTCCCAAGGTGCATGGCGATCTAACCCAGTGACTACAGTTTCACTGCAGCGACGTCTTGGAATTACATAGGCCAGCTACAAATTCTGAGCGGTCGTGTGAAGTTCACGCCCTAACGGGGCGTTTATCGATTCTCGATTAAATCGATCCTGAGGCACGCGAAACATACATCGAACCATTCATGTTCGCATCGTTTCTGATAATTGTTCTTTTTAAAAATACCATTATAGCTTCATACCCCGCCTTGTTTAAATACTTTCTACTACAGTACTATGCCACTATGTTCTACATACAACAGCCCAAAATATTGAGATGAATCGTTACACCTTGAGAATAGTTTTTTCTGGCAACAAAAAAACACCTTTTACAAGGAATCATGTCTGCATTAACCACAATACTTGTGGTCAGAATGCAAACAAAAATCACTAATATATACATTGTCTTTGAAATCGATTGGTCCACACCAGATACAGCTTTCTTTTTGAGCCTCGTCTCAAAACGGTGTTAGACCAGAGTACACTTTTTAAGTTTATTCAACTTAACCAGGTTAGAACTCACCCGCTCAACGTCTTATCGTATAAGGCGCCCGATGACAAAGTTGCACACTGACTATTTACATTTGTATTATCAGGCCCCACAGTTGAGTTGTATTGCAAAGTTGATATAAAGTTTCCGCTTCAGCAAACTTAATGAGAACACGTTGTGTAAAAACCCATAACTTTCCAAATATACATTTGCCGTAAAAATCTAACGTTTGGCCAACGACCTTTCTTTAATTAATAGTTCAGTTGTACAAACACATGTGATGGAATTCATTTAAACTACACCACGATTGAAGACTTTCATCGAAATGACCGTAACCGACGTTGATGGCCTCATGCGGATGGGACTCCACTTCAGAATTCGGCCGACTCCAGTTACAAACCCTCGAACAAAGAGGATTAAACGAGCGCCAAAATCTCAGCGATTTGCGTAGCCCACTGAAGATGCCACCGACTCTCCGGATATCTGGCGGCAATGGTTTTTGCCTTGTACAAACATAACCACAGCTGCACTAAAAGATATATTTTTAAAGTCCATTATGCAACCCCCAAGCGCCCGCCAACACCGCGAGACCACGTGGCGCCACCACTAAAGCGCGCAGTCACGATCCGTTTTAAATTAAACGGGAGCCTTTCCGTGGGCCCTTGACACGACTACTAAGAAGTGGACATTGATAAAAACACCAGTGTACGTGCGAATTTCTGGCTTTGATTGTGTTATTTTTTCACGACACATCAGCCAACACCGCATTATATCGCCGACGCCACGTGGTGTTGTCAAGACAAGTGAATTTGGCCTCCCAAATTGCGTTGCTATTCGGCATTCATCCCCGCTTCTACCACCCACGCGTCAAAGTCTACCGTACTTAATTTAAAAACGTTTAAACATAAAACAGATGTACGCCGAAGCCACGTAAAGCAAGACGACATTTCTAACGGACGCCGCGGCGAGCTTCGCGTTTTTTTTTTAAACCAATCACAAAATATACAAATTACACTCAACCCGCTGTAAGTAGCACAACACTTTAAAAAAAACGAGGTTAGTAAACGCTCGCAGTCGACTAAAGCGATAACATTCACGAGCCTCGAGCACCGCGTGGCTGCCTTGGCTGGGGCCTATAGGCACAGGCGGCGGGCCCACGCGGGCAAAAGCCCGTCAACTTTTCTCGCGCGCACACACAAAAGCTCGAGCCAAATTTACCAAAAAGTCAACTAATGAATCCAACTGCCCGTTGACGTTTTGCAGCAAAAGGTCGGTCGCGATTGTTACAATTATATTGCGATAGATTTCCCCTCACGGCCCACCCCGCCAACAGCAGCAGCAACGCGCGTTACCTCTCGCTCCCTTAGCCCGTTGGCGGCAATGCCGGCTGCCCGAGACGCGCCCTCTGATTGGCTACTTCAAGCGCTTGGTGACAGCGCGCGGCGACGTAACGCGCTCGCCCATTGGTCCGTCGAGCCGTGGCGCGAGCGCGCGGGAGAGCGCGAGGTGGGAGGGAAGGGAGAGGGGAGAGGGGGGAGAGCGGGGAGAGCGCGAGGGGAGAGGGGGGAGAGCGCGAGGGGGAGAGAGTGCTTGAGGTGGGAGGGAAGGGAGAGGGGGGAGAGCGCGAGGGTGGGGAGAGTACGCGACGGGGGAAAGGGGAGAGGGGGGAGAGCGCGAGGGGGGGAGAGGGAAGGAGGGGGGAGAGGGGAAAGGGGGAGAGCGCGAGGGTGGGGAGAGTACGCGACGGGGGGGAGGGGAAAGGGGAGAGGGGGGAGAGCGCGAGGGGGGAGGGAAGGAGAGGGGGGAGGAGGGGAGAGGGGTGAGAGCGCACAAATCATTGGCCCGGGATAGTGACGTCATGTCTGCTAGCGCGTGGAATGACGTCATAATTTAATACACTGATTGCAGCTTAAATATTTAAAATAAAAACTCAAGAAACAGTCTTACGAGGACAAGTGTAGATTTTAGGCGACGTTTCGGGCGTTCGCACTTCTTTTACAGCAACACGCTTATCGCAGCTGAGTTCGTGAGTGGCGAATGAAATATTTGATGTGTTTTAACAAGTTGGCTTTCGCGACCAATATCATCCATAATACAGCTTTTTTGGGGTTAGATCGTATACATATTTCAATGGGTCATTAAACCCGCCACCACCCTACACAACCAATTAGTAAGGTGTGTGACGTAACCAGAACATGCCAAATTGTTACTAGTTCAGCACACCGGTGTGTTGGAGAGTTAAACCACAACATTTACAATTCGAGTACGACGTTTTGCTGGTGATTACAACAAGCCTAATCAGGCGATAGCCAGAACACACTGATTGATGTACGGAACTTGTAACGAATTTCATTTACCACACGTGCAGTTAATGTTGGGCAAACAGGACGAATGATTAGCACGAGACTAAAAGAACATCAGATAAATATTAAATTCTCCCAAATACAACTGTCAGCAGTAGCAGAACACGCGTGCCAACAAGGACACTCAATTTATTTTTTTATAATGTTGAAGTTTTGTGCAAAACTAGCTACTACTGGCCAAGACTAATTAGAGAATATATCGAAATTGAAAGAAATCAAAATAACTTTAACCGTTCGGATAGCTACCGCCTTAGTGTTGCGTGGAAGCGACAATATTTACAATCTGAGTACGATGTTTCCCCAGTAATTACAGCTATTTTATTTCAATTTTTTTACCTACGTGACTTTACCGAAAAAACCTAAGAGTATGAATCCTTGCAGTCACGAAAGCTTCAAATCTAGAATTAATTACAACTTGCTTCATCAGGCGACAGCCAGATTTGTGCAGAAATCCTCCTGTCGAATAGAGTGAGGATGACGTTTTCTGATAAAGACGTCATTTTGTGGCTTTTGCATTGATGATCGTAACGTAAACTTTAAATATTCTGATTCTGGTTATGTTAACAATGTTTGGCCTTTCACCTAATTCCAGCAGTGCTATCAGGGGAGTCACCCCTGATAGCACTGCTGGAATCCCAGCAAGCCATCTGGCTATCATGAGAGATTCGTTCATGAGGCGATCCACATAACACAGAGACAATTTTAACCGAGAAGATGGATTCTGGCTTAGCAATCATTGGAAGGACGTAATAAACCATTTCGACACACATTAGGGTGGGTAGAATAATACATAGTGTTATATTAAATGTATAATATATAGGTTGGCTTACAGCAATACAGTATATAATTTAATGTTGGCAGTATATAGTACGGTATATGCTCGTGTGATGCAATAGAATAAAGTTTAGATGGAAGCATATTATAACATTTTTACGACGTAGAATTGTAATGTATTACTTGCTGTTAGTAACTCAGCTTAGTGTAGAGTATAGTAAGTATACTGATGGTGCTATGCTATTTATACTTTAGTTTTTTATGTAGTTTATACTTTAGTTTTCTACGTGGTGGTTGAGTAACTGCAGCTACATATCATTAACATTCCTTTCCTTTGTTACTGCTAATCCTGCACCCCCCTTGGTGCTGCTGATCCTGCATAATGCATGGGCATAATATGACTTTGAAACCCCCCCGCCCACCTCCTACGCATTTTCCATGAATATGCTAAATTCCTCTTCATATGCACATTCTTTTGTTAAGGCGCTCTTTCTTCCACCTCCAACGCAGCTTATATATAAGCTCCTAGCTTGGCATTGTCTCATTCTTCACCTGAAGACGGCTGCTTGCGTTGTAGCCGAAACGTCGTGAGAATTATTTTATTTTATTATGTTTTATTTTTATTATTTTATTACTTCCCTTCTACGTGACTTTACCGAAAGAACCAAAAAATGTATGCATTGTCCTTGAAACTGATTGGTCCACACCAAGGTAGCTTTCTTTTGAGCCTCGACCCAATTGGTGCTCGACCAGAAGACGCCAAAAGGCGTACAGCTCAAAGACAACGCACCATCAAAGTAGAGGGCTCGGGGTGAGCATCTACATCATTAGACCTCCTTTGCCAGTTATAAAATATAATAGGGTTTTTCCCCCTTTTTTGGCAACAAAACTGAAACCTTTTTACGAGGATTCATGTCTGCATTAACCACAATACTTGCAGTCAAAATGCAAACAAAACACATACTATGATAATATATGCATTGTCCTTGAAACGGATTGGTCCACATCAAGGGACGGCTTTCTTTTGAGCCTCGACCCAATTGGCTTATCCATTTACAGAGGTGTAGGTTTCCCCATACACTGCCAAAAGATGGTCACATGATACAACCAATATGTTTTTTTTTATTCTGAGAACTGGAATTTAACCAAATCTAGTGCAAAACCATCAACTTTCTACACTTGAGAATCCATTTTAATCACGTTCTAGCTGAAACCTCTATCTGAACCTAGCCACCTGACCAATAGTATAAGACAGTATAATATCGCTTTAAAAAAAGCATTGTAGTGGACGAGATAAAGCTCAAGTCGCTCCTAGCCTGCCCAACGTCCAAACTCAACTCTCAGGATAACAATCACCAAACAATTGTGACAACAGAATTGTTTGTGATTTCTACTCCTATTGGCCAACGCTCTGCACGCAGTCGCTTGTCTCTCAGTCACAGTGTGGTTGAGGCGCCTACGATTAGCGCGATTGGCTACGTACGGTGCGAAAGAATTTAAACATTCATACAGAGACTAGGCGAAGCCCAATTCTGTTACTCCACTGCCAGGTCACAACCAGAGCTCACAGCCGGCTCAAACACATGCACTTCTGAAAAAACTTTATATGCAAAATATCAACAAAGCATAACAAAGCAAGGGCTTACAACAACAAAGAACTCCCAAAGCAATACAGACAGTATTTCAATTGATGATCAATTACATTTTTCCTGCAACTCCCATATTCATTGTGAGTCTGTCTACAAACAGTTTGCTGCAACCACACCAATGACATCACAAAAAAGTTGTCAGGTACAGCTGTAGCCAGTCCTCGGGTCAATTATAATAACGAAAGCAGCTTTGTTTACTGAAATTACTACATTCTCATCGAAAGTAATGGTGCATGACAATTCCAATCGTAATTGAACGAAGATCGGGCTTGAGCAATCCCCAGATGAATTATTTATGATTATGTTCTGCAAGTTCCCATAGTATTTTAGGCATATTTGGTCAATTTGAATTTTTATTCTGAATACTTGTCAATTAGTACCCAATAGTATTTTGAGGTGCGCGTGTAAAAATCCCAGCATACAGTTTGATCCATGGTCCATACTAGGGAAAGATTATTAATAAACAAACGTGTTATTTTAAAGCCTCTACATATCTCCCACCAATCTCAAAACACTTATTAAATATTTTAACATGCTTCTCTGCAAATAAGGAACCATCACTTTTACAATATGCAATAATCTGTTGATAATAAAATGAAGAAATCAATCGGAATTGTTGGGGTATCTATTAATGGAATGTATATTTTGGGTATTCTATGTTAAGATTCCAGTACCATTTGTGATATAGTATTTTTATACCATATATGTCTTGGGTAAAATGCCATTATATTTTGGAGATCCTATAAAAATCAAATAGTCTGGGAAAAACTATTTTTAAAATGCCCAGCAGTTTCAATCCACTGCTGGATTAAGGCCTTCCACACAACGTGTCAGTCACGGGGTTGTTTCCCTGTATTTGATCACAATGGTCAGTGTGGGTGAGTGAAGGGGAGGGGTATGCCCATTATCATTTCAGTGATGTTGGTTATGGCCACGTATTACTGGTCGGAACCTCCTGGTTACACCAGCCCACAGGGGATTATTTTGTCCGTCGTGCATCCAAAAATGGGAGGGGTGAGGCTGAGTGGAGAGGGGAGGGTGGGGAGGGGCTGGGTGGGGCTGGGTGGGGAGGGGCTGGTCACCCCGTGGTGCCCTTATAAAACTCAACGTTTAACCTACTCACGCCGGCTTGTGCCCGCCCTCACAGTCGGACATATTTACGGAATACACCACGCCACCGTTGACCCTGGCCATTGACCGAGCAACCCAACGTTCCTACCTCCGCAGGAATGTGTTAACTTAGAGAACCTGGTTTATAGCACAATGCAATTAAACACTCACTGCATCACTATGCCACTAAATTCCTGATGAAAATATCAAATTCCCGAATTGTGTATTTAAAAATGAGAACACTTTGCAGCATATTTTTTTTTGTTCGTCGCCTTGATGCCAAACATTTGCTTGTACTGTATGTTTTTAGTATCGTTTGAAATTTTGAGACAACATACTGTCTTGCTTAATTTGACCCAACTTACCATGGACAATCTACATTTTTAGTTCAGAATTAGGATATAACGCTTTGATAATGTTCATAATCGTTACTCGGGCAGTATTTATATAGTTTACGTTTGATCACGCATTTTTCAGCATGAAAACCTGATCTCTGATCCAAAATTACCATAGCAAGTCTTCAAACAGAATTGCATGTAAACATATTTTTGATTAAAAGTAGAACCCAGCTGCACAGCATTTGATTTTTTTTTACTGTGACTTTTCATTCATCCAAACATTTCGCTTTGAGAAAGACTCAGTGGGATTTTCGGTTAATAATATTTTCATTAGATTTTTCATCCGATCCAAAAATTTACAATTTGCAGGCGTTCACCATTTAAATAGTTTGTGATTTACACTGTTCCAATACTGGATGCACGTATTAAAGCCAGCAAGCAAAGCATCGTGCAAATCATTTGGAGATTATGACTACATTTTCACTTGATAAACCACTTTGTGGAGCTATTATTTGTGGCCAGGTCGCTTCTGAAAAATAAGTTAATACTTGTGTGCTTAACCTGATAAGATAAAAAAAAAGTTATGTTTTTAAGCGATTTGTTTACCTTATATACTTTACACTATCGTTTTTTTATTGTTTGTCATGTTGTGACCTGTCCCTACTGGACATGTGAAAGATAATTCTGGATCATCCGATTCCTTGAGTATAAATATTCTGATTATAATCAAAACAAGTACGGGTACAAGGAAATCCGTTGTGACCATGGCTGCCTTATTAAAGGAGAGTATTTTATAAATTCACAGTAACCACATTCCTCATGTCAGCCCAATGCCCACCAAAAGTCTGCTGTAAAGACACCGCCATAGCATCCGTCTGCTCATAATTATGCGTTGTACTCGTGCTTATACAACCAATGTTGTCAATACACCGTATGCTTTGTGGGGGTTATTTGACCACCACGCCCCAGGGCTCGGCAACCAAAATAACGGAGCCGCAATGACTGTGAATACGAGACGGTCCTTAATAAATAACGTCACAAAGTAGTCCATAAAGAACCAAATTCCGCTCCGGAGCCGCAGGTTGCAGACCCCTGACCGTGCTGGTCAGTGCGGGTTGACGATGAGCATAGCCGTACTGAGTAATGGATTTTGATGCATTGCCCTCTACTCCCAAATACATGGCTCTTCAGGCCCTATGACAACCTGCTTGTGCATGGTGGCCACCCATTCAAGCACTTTCCAAGAACTTCTTTTAGGATAATTTTTTTACCCTATCTGGCAACAAAACTGACAACTTTTCTTACAAGGAGTCATGTTTGCATTGACCACAATACAACGGTGTTGGACCAGATGACGCCAAAAGGCGCCTTTTGGCGTCATCTGGTTCAACACAATGTGAGACTAGGCTCTAAGAAAAGCTGTCTCGAGTGTGGACCAATCAATTTCAAGGACAGTGCATACATTGTCAGATGTGTTTTTTTTGCGTTCCGACCGCAGGTATTGTGGTCAATGCAAACATGACACCTTGTAAAAAAAGGTGTCAGTTTTGTTGCCAGATAAAAGGGTAAACAACCAATTATCATATTTTGTTACTGGCAAAGGAGGTTCCAATGGTGTAAACTCCACTTAGCTTTGGATATCTTATAACAGGGGTCCTCAAACTACGGCCCGCGGGCCACATGCGGCCCGCCGAGGACATTTATCCGGCCCGCCGGGTGTTTTTGCCGCCGCTGCCTGTCTGTTACTTTTTTTCTGCATGAGAAGGACGGTCATTGGTGGAAGAGGGAGAGGGGGCGGAGTTCCCCCCAATCAGACTGCATTGATGGGCAGTGCAGTCTGTATGTCTCTGTGTGGGCAAAGTTATTGCTGGTATATTGTTTTTGTAGCGCTGTATATATATTGGTATTTTACTAATAGCAATTTTGACTCCCTAGGAAACAATGATGTCAAGAAAGAGAAAAAGTGACTCGGAGTGTAGGATATTCAAAGAACAGTGGACTTATGATTACTTTTTCATGCAGTACAAGGAAAGAGCTGTGTGTCTGATATGCCAGAATATAGTGTATTTATGGGAAATGCAGGAATGTTATTAGTACAACATATGCAGCACGGGCATATGTAGTACTAATAACATCCTGCATTTCCCATAAATATGCTAAATTCCTCTTGATATGCAAATTCTTTTGACAAGGCGCTCTTTCCCCCGTTTCCAACCCAGCTTATATATATGCTCCAAGCTCGTGTGCTGTTTCATTCAGACGCTGTCTCCCCGACAGACCTGGTTTTCATCTGAGGACGGCTGCTTGCGTTGTGGCCGAAACGTCGTGAGAATTATTTTATTATGTTTTATTTTTATTATTTTATTACTTCCCTTCTACGTGACTTTACCGAAAGAACCAAGAAGAGAGGATATCTATGAAAAGGTTTGCCAAACTGAATGGTTTGGAGCTGAACTGGGCTAAACTAGCCAGTGTGACAACTGATGGTGCTCCTAGCACGGTGGGGTCTAAGAAAGGAGTAATTGCTCGCATTAACCAAGAGATGGACAAACATAACCATTCTCATCCAATAGCCATACACTGCCTCATCCACCAACGAGCGCTGTGTAGTAAATCACTGAAGTGGGACTCTGTTATGAAATTTGTGGTATCTTGTGTTAACTTCATTAGAGCTCATGCACTAAACCACAGACAATTTAAGGAATTTCTGTCTGAGCTAAATGTTGAATATGAAGATGTTCTGTATCACACAGAAGTCCGTTGGCTGAGTCGAGGGAGAGTTTTGAAACGTTTCTATGACTTACTTCCACAGATTACAGCTTTTCTGCTTTAAAAAAACAAAGAAGTACCAGAGCTCAATGATGCAGAATGGAAATGGCATCTTGCCTTTCTGACAGATGTAACAGAGCTACTCAACAGTTTCAATGTGCAACTTCAAGGAAAGGGGAAGCTCATCTGTGATATGCAATCAGATTTCAAAGCATTTGAAGTAAAATTAGGAGTTCCAATTTGGATTTAAAGAGCTTCATCTCCATGAACAGGACATACAGCTTTTCCGTAACCCATTTTCTATTGACATTGAAAATGTGGATACAATTTACCAAATGGAACTGGCTGAACTGCAGAATTGTGACTCTCTGAAAGACGCATTCAAGTCAAGCAGCCTTCATAATTTATATGCATCTCTCCCCTCTGAGACATATCCTCCTCTCAGGAACCATGCACTCAAAATGGCAACCATCTTTGGCAGCACTTATGTCTGTGAACAGACTTTTTCCAGAATGAAACATTTGAAATCTCCAACCAGATCTAGACTAACGGATGCACACTTGCATCACTTGTTACGACTAGCAGTGACAAATATGGAACCGGACATTGACCATCTCATTAGCCAAAAGCAGGCCCATAGTTCCCATTGAAATACTGGCAAGTTCGTTGATTTAACTTTACTTGTTCTTCATTTTAAATATTGTATTTGTTCCCGTTTTGATTCTTTACTTCAAAATAAGATATATGCAGTGTGCATAGGAATTTGTTCATAGTTTTTTTAAACTATAGTCCGGCCCTCCAACGGTCTGAGGGACAGTGAACTGGCCCCCTGTTTAAAAAGTTTGAGGACCCCTGTCTTATAACATTGTGCACATGCTCGGAAATTGTCATATTCCTAAGTTCTACATAACGTGTGCAAAAAACACAATAGAGTTCGTGATAAAGTATTTTATTATATGCACCAGCAGCATAATTTCATCAAAATACCACATAAATAGCATTGTCTACGTTACATGACAATGATGAATGTACTTTTTAAAAACGACAATTGCCATTAAAACACAGGATTTTAATGAGTGACATTGACATTCGTTATAAGAAAATGTCTCAAGAACCCATTCACCTTCACTTTGGATTTAAAGTACAGTTTTATGAAAAGACGAACAAATACAGTATGGGCAATTTTCAACTGGCTATATTCATGCTAATTAATTCAGGCAGAATGGTGGCAGTGGTTCGTGCACTGCATGATGCATGTGAGACCCAAGTTAGATTTCCAGCAATGATTAAGATCTGTGGCAGATCATATCTGAACCCTTGGAACTTCACCAACCCACACTGACCTGCGTAATAATGCGTGGTAAAACAACTACCACGAGTACATGGCATGGAGAAGACTCCATTCAGCCATGGTGGGGAGATGTTAACTACCTCGCCTGGAATACAGGAGGCTGTGGGTTTGACTCCAAACCCTGATGCCTGTATATTTAGAGTTTGCATGTTCTCCACACGGTCACGTGGATTTTTATCCAGGTCCTCCGGTTTTCCCTCCACATTCAGTAACGTGCGTTTAGAGTGTTAGGTTGCTATAAATTTCCAAATAAGCCACTTCGTTGAGCTATCATTTGTGGCCAGGTCGCTTCTGAAAGAGTTGTATAGCTTAGTGGGCCTTACCTGGTAAAATAAAAATGTTAAGGTAAGCAGTGGATTGATAAAGGGGCTGTAAATTATGCTACTCAAATATATTATTTAAAAAATACATTATTCAACTTGGGGTCTTCATAACCACTTAATTACTTAGTGGACCCATTTATCTTGCTGGTGCAAGGAGCAAAGACAATTTTCGATACCGCTGTTGCAATAACTTTTTTGTTGTGTAAACCATTTGTGTTTAGACGACCTCTTGATTTGTTTTTCATTTTTATTTTCTGAGGGTTTTAATTTACTTAATAAGTGCTACAAATAGGATACAGCCCTTAATGTGATAATACAATTAGCATGAATGATACTGTAATAATTATGTTTAGTTTTATAATTAGGAGATGTGTGTGAGTAATGTAGTCTTTTCACTCTTAAATCTAGTTTGCCAATTCGTGGTGTGATGGCATGTTACAAAATCACCAGTCAAATTTCACAATTTACAGCTTTGCGTGCGGCTTTTCTAGATTTAAATCCAAAATGATGGCGATAGCATGCAGAGTGGTGAATAAAAAAAAACTCTTGCTTAGCACAAATGAATCACGTGAAAGGATTTGTAATGTTATAAAACTTCACACATTAAACTTGCTAAACAACAATACAAGTGTAACAAATGTTTTAGTGATTTATATTCGTTCGGATAACACCACCATGCTGAATTTAACAGAAAGTGTGCCACAACGTGCAACCTGAAAATGCATGTAAACACCACCAACATAAAAAACCACCCTTCCACCACACACATACCATTGAAAATAAATGAAAAGAAAACACGTATTATATATGTAAACGTACGAGCCAAGTATAATTCATGCAAGTACAGCTTTTAAAGGTAAAAAAACCAGCCAAATCAAAGGGAGTAATTGTATAAGTGTCAGTGGGCGTTTACGTACAAGAGCTAATGATGGACTTGTAACGTTATCTGCACTCCACCTAAAAATTGGCACATCCACAGATTCTGATCAAAAAGTCAACAACGGCATGGGGGGTCAGGATGCTATGCCACTTACCGTTCCATTATCCACGTGATACTGTACAGCAGTGGCTGTATTAACAAAAGCAAATGACAACTTTCTTCAGGAGGAGTTAACATCTCAAACTCAATGGGAATGTACCACCCTATGTGATAAAAGGCCTGGCATGTAACATGCAACAATTCAGATTAAAACTGATCTCACACTCACACAATGCATGCATCGAATCGTGTGTGCGAGAATCGATTATTCTCAATTCTGATATGCACTTCAATTGTTTCAAGTGGTGTTACATTCACACAATGTTAATAAAAACATTGATCTTGAATAGAATGGCCACAAATAATGACAATGTATTAAATTACGAATGACGAGGGGGGGGGGAGGAATCGTTCCATGGCCATTAAATGCCGTGCTGGCCAATTCTGTTCACTGGGAGATATTCATTTGCTCAAACTGGCTGTGCAGTTTCTCCTGCGCGTCGTACAGCTTCCTCAGCTTCTTGGCGAGACCCTTACTGATCTCCTTTCCCTCCGAGTCGTGCGTGGGGAACCCCTGGACCGGGAACACAGTCACAGATATACATCTTGAGGAACACCAGGGTACAATTGCAACGGCGAGGTTTCGGGGTGGGGAGGGGCTTGGTGGAACAATCGTGCACCCCTGCCAGGGTGCAGTCAAAGAGTTCATTGTGGTCAACAAAAGAAGTAGTAGCGATGAAAATGTGCGTCAACGAAGAGGGTTATTTATTTCAGTTGACGATGACTTTCAGCGGACAAAAATCATCAATTTCAACACGTAAGCTTTCGCCACCAATATTATTCATTATCAACGTTTTTGGGTCAGATCGCGTTATTTATAAATGTGTCGTAACCCTCCACCACCGGACACAGCCAATCAGTAAAAAAGTGTCACGTTGACAAAAGACAAATAGTTCACTACTTTAGCCCACCGGTGTGTTGAAGCGTGAAACCACAATATTTACCATTTCGACGTTTCGCTGTTAATTGCATCCAGCATCATCAGGCAATTCGCCAGAAGTAGTGAACTATTTTTCTTTTGTCAACGTGACACTTTTTTACTGATTGGCTGTGTCGGGTGGTGGAGGGTTACGACACATTTATAAATAATGCGATCTAACCCAAAAACGGTTTTTATGAAAAATCATCAAAGTGTGACGATGACTCCAACTACCATGACAAAGACTAAATCATGATAACTACGACGAGAAAATTAGCGAGTGACTCAAGACGAAGACTAAGACAATTTCGTAAGATTATTAGAAACTGCAGTGTAGCGGTAGACAAAATTGGTCCTTGGTGGTATAAGATTATAGAGATCACCAATTGGCCGACCTGATAATATTGGGGTGGGGGGGAAATTGCACACATCACATACCAACACCTAATAACCCAAGTGTTTGACAGCTTTCGTCAACTAGACTAAACGAATGATTATACAAAATTGTCATAACTGCATTTGTACATGTTGTCATTAACGACACTGAGGCTATTATCAAAATTGAACAATGCTGAATAAATTAACACTGGATGTAAATTATGGGTTGTTGCTGTAACGTTTGTGCCAAACACGAAAGGCAATGACGATCTTATTTTTGTTGCCAACCAATGAACAGACAGAAGTGCTACGAAAGCACGTTGACAATACCTCAAAAGTGTGTCTACTCACGTTTCCATCAAACTTGGAGTATTTGTCCGTCTCGCTCAAAAACATTTCTTGAGGTCGGATCTTCATTTTTTCCAATTTTGCAGCCTCAAGGTGAAAAACAACAACAGCACACGTTTGAGCAACATCTTAAAACATTGATTTTTAAGGATATGGTCTGGTCATAGCAGTGGTCTGCAGTCATCCGTTTGCTGTGAAGTCGCAGGTGGTAAATATTTTTTTCAGGAAATACAGTGGGCAGTGTTTTATGTTGAATGATAACCTCTGTACCAGCTGTCTACATGTAATGACCAAAATGTCTTTTTGATAAACAGAGCAAGACATGATAAAGGGTAAACAGATGCAGCAGTGCTAAAACTTTGCTGGAGCAGCATGTAAGGGACGTGCTATATCGACCCTAGACTAATGACCCAATTTCTCAAGTAAAAGCAAATGTCATTTTTATTATGAAGCCACGCATTAACTTATGGCAAACTGTGACGACTCAGATGAATAATCTCTCTGCCAGAATGACATCCATCGTTGGCATGTGCTCAGGATGGGATGGTCTCAGTGTTTTAATTGTGTCTAATTCCCTCTATGACACAGACATACAACATGGCATATCGTGGAACATTACAAAATTGTGCTAAATATACCACGATTCAACTCCATTTTTTTCAGGATATGTTGAGATACATTTAATCTCATCACACCGGAGATAAAGTGATGCAATCGGCTCACCTGCAGAAGGTGAATTGTGGAATCGCAAGACTGCGACAGATGATAAGAGCATGGGCAGGCCTTTATCCAGTAGTGGATGGACACTGACTAATGATGATAATGATGCTAAACACCCATTTTTTCTCCAAAAATAATTGTTAGCTTTTGTTAGGTGGGTGCCGATGTATGAAGTGACTTTGCATGTATGTAATTTAACCTATGTTACCAGGGTCTGTCCCCTGACCTGCCAGTGAGTCAAACCATGCAGCGTAAAGACGCAGAGCCAGATACAAATACCACATCTACAATGTCACTTAGCATAAAAAAGCAGCTACTTTTCTTGCTGTGTCACATGATTCAGTGGGACAGCTCTAAGACGTCCGGGAGCTTCACCTCCAGTTCTTGCTTTTTCTTGGCTGCTTCCTCCTTCTTAAGTTGCTTTTCTTCTTCTATCTGAAGGCACACGAGTGGTATAGGCACAGTTAATAAATGTGCAAAGCCAATAAAGCACTGCTTGTATACTGAGCAGCTGTTCAAATAAAATGTGACCATCTGATATAAGCGCTTCCTCTTTGATGAACGACTCTGCTCTGCTACAAGCTGCAACGGAGATTATAAATCTTCCGCTTGCGACGGCATGGCAAAAATCACTACAGTTTTATCGATGCCTCGACTACCTGTCCAGGGGGCACAAGCCCTGTTCCAAATTTACAACTCCTCATCGCCATCTGTGGAGTTAAACAGACCTTTTTCTTCTCTTCCCTCTCCTTTAGCAGAGATTCCTTGTCCACGAGTTTCACAACGGGGGGAAGACCTGGCAAAGAAGACAAATAAACAAACACAGGCTGAAAGTAATTCCAACACCATCAAGATATTGACTCCAATGTATTGAACACTGCCTTAGGTCTACATATTTGGCTGTGTCGAGCTGCTTTACTGCAAGACTAGATAAAGGGTGAACCCTTCATATTTTATTTTCCAATTTTATTTTCAAGGAAAAAGGTGCCAGCTCAATAATTGTTTGCCGACACCACTGATGGTGGAAGGGTCTCCCCACTAGAGGGAGCACTAGAGAACCCTTCTAGAGGGTATTTGGTCTACTCTTCCATGCTGGCCAGCCATCATGGAAGAGGTGGGAATACCCATCCTTTACCCCACCACCACATGCTACCTGCCGAACCAAACTAACCGTCCAACTTCAGATAACCATATTCAGAAAGTTTAGTCTCACTCACGAGCAACATTGGTTGTTCTGCCAACAGCGATGGCCCCAAGGAGATGTGACCCCTACCAGGAGGCATGTGACATTTATACCACTGTATATTTAAACGGGGAGAAATTTTGATATGGAGATGTTTTACTATCCTTGCTTTACCTTCCTTCATTCTACCGATGGGGCTTTGTGTTATGGATCTTAAGAAGTGTATTTAGTAATAATGATTAACGAAAAGATAACGACAGGAGCAGCTACCCTCATGGTCTTCCAGTCGCACACCGAGCTCAGGCAGAATGTCGTCGCGTAGGGTGTCGCTCAAAGTCAGCAACTCCATCACTGCACAACACACGACACGGGTCCAGCTTTATAACACAGTGCTGTCAAGGCAGTGAGCCCAGAGGCAACCTGCCAACATTTTACTTCCACAGAAAAAAATATCTTATTGTCAAGCAACCGGAAATGTAGCTGTGTTCAAACGGACCCTTCTTTTCCCGGGCAATTTGCCGGACGCTTTCACGGAATTCGGCCAGGGTGGACAGGAATGGCATTACTGCAGTCTCCAGCTGGTGGGTGAGCACAAGGCATGGCATTGTCAATAACAAGACAACAATGAGGAAAACCTGAGACAAGGAACATGATGTCATGTAAAAATGAACACATTCCTGCGGAGGGAGCTGGTAGGAACGTTGGATTGCTCGGTCAATGGCCAGGGTCAACGGCGGCGTGGTGTATTCCGCAAATATGCCCGACTGTGGGCGGGCACAAGCCGGCGTGAGTAGGTTAAACGTTGAGATTTATAAGGGCACCACGAGGTGACCAGCCCCTCCCCACCCTCTTCACCCAGCCCCTCCCCACCCGCCCCTCCACATCCAGCCCCTCCCCACCCTCCCCACCCAGCCCCTCCCTCCCCACCCAGCCCCTCCCTGCACGATGGATGGACGGACACAATAATCCCCTGTGGGCTGGTGTAACCAGTCACAGATTTCGCACCTAATTACACGTGTGCATATAAGACAGTTTTGCAATGTCGATAAACCTTCAGCCATTCTATAATCGTCCAATTATTAACAAAAGGATTTCACAAATTTTCTAACATTAGTCCAGAGATGGGATATGCATGGACATGTGAGCTGGCAATTATTGAACTGTTCCTCCCAGAAAACAAGAACAGACATTTTTCACATTATAAGATTAAAACAATCATGAGCACACAAAAAAAACCACAGAAAGTGCATTTATTAGATTACTTTAGGTACTGATAGCCATTACAGGCCTTTTGTAAATATTGCCAAATTCTAACTTTACTTACGTTTGTTCCCTGGCAGGCGGTGATTGGGAATCCAATTGCATCGTCCCCTTCGATTGCACCAAAAATCTGGATGGAAACAAGAAGGCTGCAGCTGGGAAACGAATGCCAAATTTCAAACATCTTTCCATGATTGGGTTTTTGGGTTGGGTCGTATACAAAAGTGTCATAAATCCTCCTACACCTGATGCAGCGAATTATTTAGATTTGGCTGCTATAAATGTCCACATGATAAGCCACTTCGTTGAGCTTGTGGCTAGGTTGCTTCTGAAAAAAATACTAATAGCTCAGTGGCTTTACCTGGTAAAATAAAAAAAGTTTAGTTTTAGTTTATGTATTTATTTACAGTGATTTGCTAACCATTCCTATACGTTTCACTCCGGTATTTACAAGCACTTAAATATTAGTTATCCAGCTCCATCTTTTTTACATTTATCAGCAAAATAAAGTGAACACATGAAGGCCCATTTATGGTGGCAGCCAATGTAAATCTTGTCCGACTTGTATGAAGAATTACACATGTTTTTTATCAACAGCAACCGCCGGGCAAATCAAAGGTAATGAGCCGTTTCATCATTATGCGAATATGGCCCAAAGCATATTAATATTGGGCAAGTAACGATGTGTCAATTTAGCAATTAAATAGCTTTAATGTTCACTATACCTGCACCGTATCAAGTGTGAACCAATTATATATGATTTCTGCAAATGTACTGCAAAATATATGCCAACTTTATATTTAGGCTGAGCGGACAAAACTGTAGACAGCACAGAAAAAGTATACACAATACAAATTAGAGAGTACAAATCAGAAAGTTAAAGAACCCCCAAATTGAACGAATCGCAACTCCGAATTGTGACATTTCATCGAACAACTTGGATGAGTGAATTATCGCAGGGGCAGCACTCGTGACCATTATTCGATTCGGCAAGTGTACACGTTCAAGAGCGAGCCACAGTTGGCTCCGACTGTGTGGAAATGGTGGTGGTTGGTGGTGGCGGTGGGGACTTTGCACCTTGAACATCTGTGTCAAGTAAAGGGAGACGTTCTTGAGCAGGCCCTTGTTGGGCGATGCCTTGCGGCCCTTCACGCTGGCGATGTACGTGTTGCAGTGGCCGATGAGAGCCCTCATCTCCTCCAGCGCCACGCGCGTGTCGATGTTGTCGCAGAGCGCCGTGTGGACGCTCGCCTTCTTTTCGTAAAACCTTTGTGCGTCGGGGGGGGGAGGGGGGGGGGAATCAGGTGCGGTCGTGACAAGTCGCCGATTTTTACCAAGAAGCTTCGACAAAGATTACCGTTGTGCATGACGCATGGTGTGCAAAGAGATTCGTAGCTATAGAGAGCAGGAAAAGCTTTAAAAAGGAGTTTCAAATAAGTGTGAAAATGGAAATATGTAATGCACCACATATATACAAAATACAAATAGGCTCACAAATCTGATATCTGTATACACTAGTTGTATATAAACAGTATAAATATATAGTCAATAAATTAATAATATTGTTTTCACATTTTGTTATTCATCTAAAGCACTCAATTAGGGCTCTACCTATTAGTTTTGTCGTTACAAGTATCAAAACATGAACGATACTGTGTAAAATTCACAAGTATAAAAAAAATACCGCGCCTTATTTCTATTCAAATGTTCAAACTACATTTCGGGATTAAAACTTTTCTTTCCAAGAAAAGCTATCATTTTCTACTCAACATCTCTTGACAGGATGGGAAGACAGCCCAGGAAGTGTCAGTTTTAATTCGCCGAGTTAACCCCCACCCTGGCGACACTTACAGTTTGTTGAGATCCATCTCAGCCTCTTCCCACTTTTCGTACTGCCCCGTGATGTCTGTCGGTGCTCGCAAAATGTCCTTCACATTCAGGAAGAACTCCTGCGCACAACAACAAGGCATTGGGCACCCACTGCTGCGATATTCATCCAAGTAAACACGCATTTGCCCTGTAAGCAGACTATATGCTCAATCTCTTATATTATTGCAAAAATTTAGGGTAGAAACCGGTTTTATATTTACACGTTATCAATCCACTCCCCACACCATGTAGGTAGTGGGGGGGGGGTTGTTTGATCAACCTTAGCAAAACTTCCATTTATATTATTTGGTCACTTCGTTGAGTTATCATTGGTAGCCAGGTCACTTCTGAAAGAGAGCTATATAGCTCAGTAGGCCCTTACCTGGTAAAGTAAAAATAGTTTAGTTTTTAGTTTAGTTTAGTGACCTCAGAGTCACTCAGCCACTCCCCCACCCATTCTGTGGCTTACATTGAGAAAGCGTTCATACTGGGTGGCCGACTCCATGGTGTTTGAGGAATAATCCAGCGTGTCTTTCCAGGAGTGCATGAGGAAGGCCAGCCTGAGCTGCCGAGCTATAGCACACAAATCAACAACAGACATCGGAAGCAAACGGACACCCTTACTTCATGCCTTTATTAATTTAAATAACACTTCGTGTCTTCAAATTGTTTTTATAACTGTAATTATCAGAGGCTAACAGCAAAAACAATTAATTTAAACAAACATTTAGAGGCAGATGAGGCAATTTTTTTGTCCATTTCCTAAAGACTTGAACTTCAAAGTCAACCCGCCTAGAAGTCGTACAGAAACACTATTAAGTTTCATGAATTTCGATTTAAAGCTTTCGTGACTGCAGGGATTCATATTCTTGGTTCTATGTGACTTTACCGAAAGAACCGAGAATAAGTTTCATGAAATGAATTCAATGTGCTTACCCGTGTTGCTCATCAGAGCCTCCTTGATGGTGATGAAGTTCTTGAGAGACTTGGACATTTTGCAGCCGGAGATGGTGAGATGTCCGTGTGCAGGAAGTAGCGCACCCAGTGGTCGTTGTCAAAGTAGGCCTGGAGATCGAGTGGATTCACATCGGTAAGAAGCACGGTCGGCAGTCGGTGTCTTATGATGCTTACATCCCTTGCTTAATATGGTTTATTAAAGCGCATGATACACATTCGATTGCATATCTAAGAATACATGTGGTTTTTATTACTTTTATAATTTGAGGCATTTGCCAATCCACTGCTGGATGCAGGCCTCCCCAAGCTGTTCAGGGCGATATGACCATACTTTACCACGCTGGCCATGCTAGTTGGCGAAGGGGGGGCGGGGTGGGGGGGATTAAGGCCCGATTGTCAGATGTCACTCGGCACCGATGTCATTCTTGGCTGGCAATGGAACTCGGGTCGATGGGTTCGTAGCGTAGCACGCACAGCAACGGTTCACCGCTCCAACCTTGTTTTTGACCTATACCAATAATACGGAAATAATAAGCTATTGTGCGACTTTTTTGCTAATGGAGCTCAGAAAAATGTATGAGCCAGATGTAAAAAATGAGAAATAAGAAGACAGAAAAGGGAGACGGATAATATGTAATTCTTGAATCGAATTGCGTCCATGAACCACGACAATTATTTGAATGAAGGTGTGAATTGTGACTTCTCATTTAACGAGTAGGTTTAAAGGTGAGCGAGAGGGAAGAAACGAAAATAAACAAACACTGCCACCTTAGGCTCAGAATATGAACTGATACTTTGTAGTATTGAGGCACGTATCCGATTCGCCCTCCTTGTGATACAGTTGTCAAGATTAGGGGTCACGATTCAAGAGGAGGTTCTTTAAAAACACAGTGGGGTATGTAGATATAATACTGTGTATCCCAATTATAATCCTCCAACGATTATTTTCTGTTGTGTCTCCAAAGTTGTACACGACTTTTTTTTTGCCCATATTTATTTTAGCCCCAAATTTCCAATTTTTTACATTCTTCTATCTTGCCATATCGTTAATTCCTATTTAGTGTTATTAACAAAGAAGATGGTTGCTTTTTAGAACAATTATATTTCTTCCTTAATTTCTGCAATCAATGGTCTCCAATCTAATAAGAACATTGCACAATTATGTAGCCACAACACAGTTTTCAATGTCATTTCCAGGCATGTAGACACCCCACTAATAGAACACGGAGACATTCGAGAAATTACATGTCTCCCAAGTATATCAATTAAATTATAAAATCTTTTAACACTCCCCAGATACCCTTTGTTCAACCATGCCAGTGTGATTTGCGGACAACATTCAATGATGTGCAAGATCAGCACATTGATATATTTCTGTTTTGTCACGTACACACACACACACACACCGTCTTTGATGTGAAAACCCTGCGGGTTTATGTTAGGTGAATACGAGGGCCATCCAATTGATCCAGCTCAGCCAATCCAACACACAATGTCTCATAAAACTATTTATGCACTGCATGAGATATGGGTTATTGGATATCAGAAGGGGATCTAAAAATGGATCACCCTAGCACTGTTCTTTGCCTACACGAGCACTGGGGGTCACAGCACCTCGGACTGCGCCAATTCGTTGTCATGGTGGGGGAAGCGCAGATCAAAGCCCCCGCCGTGAATGTCCATGGACTCTCCCAGGATGGAGCCAGCCATTGCAGAGCACTCGATGTGCCACCCAGGACGACCCTGCATTCACAGACACACACAGACAAGACTCCCCATGTAGCCACACAGCACACAAGGGGTGATGTAACCATCACCATTGCCTGTTTTCCCACTGCTTAGGTGCATGAATTGAAGCAGACACAATACTCCGTTAAGGCGAGTAAATGTAGGAGAGACCCAAGTTCGGCTAAAATCAGAATCTTTAGACTGGAGGAATCCAATAAGCTATGAAGCTCTTTTTCACAGATGTTCAATATAAATACATTTGCCATCAATGTTTTCTTTGGGTCATTGAATTCAGAGTAGTGAATGAACCACTACACAACTGCTAACACACGCATATAGATCCTCGTATACTCATATCAGTCTATTGGTTTAAGTGTTGTTCATGAACATTTAAGACCGACCTAGCAAGTGGTATTGGTGTGGCCAATACCATGCCTGACCACCTTTGTCTCCCCAGCGGTGATGTTAAAACACTGCACCAGGTGCTCATTTAAAGTTGAGTTCACCTCAGGAGAGGACCAGGAAAGTTCTGACATCACTGACCACTCTCGTTTTGACTAAATTTGACATCACCGATACCACGTTTGACAATTTCACAATCCATCAACTTGGGTCATGACATTTGAATAACATTAGATGCTGTCTCCCCGACAGACCTGGTCTTCACCTGAGGACGGCTGCTTGAGTTGTGGCCGAAGCGTCGTGAGAATTATTTTATTATGTTTTATTTTTATTATTTTATTACTTCCCTTCTACATGACTTTACCGAAAGAACCAAGAAGATGAACATTAAAAAAGACCACATAACACAACGTTGCACACCATCCCATGTATGCGTACCTTTCCCCACGGCGAGTCCAAGAAGGTTCCCCAGGCTTTGAGGCTTTCCACAGCGCAAAGTCATTTGCGATCGCTTGTCGTTCAGCCGCTCAGCGCTGATGCTCAGGTCGCCTGCAAAGAGACCATACCGTGAAAGGACTTGTTGAAGAAGCTCCAAGCAGGTGAAGCGAAACGTCGGACATCATGCGGAACAATATGCTGTACAGCCTGAAAACGCATCGGGGAGCTTGATGATACCGCGCTCTGTTCCCGTGCTGCTTTGGCTCTACGCCGCCCATCCCAGATAGACGAATGGCGAGTAAATGGAAGCTCCATGTGTAACGTGTGCTTTTATAATCAGGTTTAATTATAAATCGATTGTTGCTTGCTAGGTATGTAACATTTCACTCCCCCCCCCGCCAAATTTTTTATGAAGTTGGGATTCTTGATTCAATAAAAAAATTATCCATTACTGTTTGTCTTTTTTTAACATCTCATTTGTAGGGTTATTCAGTGGTTTCTTGTCTCGTTGCTTCAATTTCATTCACCTCGTGAGCTACATTTTTACATTATTATATAATTAGAATAAAATAAACAAATAGGAAAAAACGGTTTCTTGCACGCATTAAATCAACGCTTGTTTTCAGGAGCAAGTAAAGCAGACTGCAAAAATCTAAGCACTCCCGACTGTCGACGAGATCGGACGCGCTCCGGACGATTTGGTTGCAAGCATGCGCACGGTATTATTCCAGACGGTCGAACAGTAAAAAGGGATGTCGTACCCTCTCCTTCGTGCAGAGCCTTGTGATCACCCACAGCCTCGGGCACAAGCTTGGCGTACGAGTGGCGCTCGCTGCTGTCGAACCTCGCCGTGTCGAAGTACACCGACCCACCCGACTCGTAGCTGTAAACACGAGTCAGCATTCAGCATAGCCCAAGGCAAAAGCAGCAATTACTAGTCGCACTTGATCATCCGGCTTAAGATGCCGACAGTTTATTAGCATCTGGAGGCAAACCGTGGGGCCAATGTATGGACATGTATATGTACAGCCCTTTGGGTCAATATACTGCTGGATGAGGGCCTCCCTACACCATTTAGGTTGTGGGGGCTATTTGACCAAAATTCACCAAGCTGGCCAGTGCAAATTGGTGAAGGTATTTAGTATAAATGCTGGATAATGCAGCAATTGATCTCTCTACACTGCCATCTATTGACAACATAGCCCCGTATAAGTATACAATACATGATTTATGCATGG